AATTATTAATTCTAGTTACTGTTAATAACACTTGTCTTTATCATACATCACATTTTATTATATTTCGCTAAATATACTGAGACAATTTAATTACATGTAGTTACATATTATACAAAATGTATGAACATTTTGTTTTATAAACTAACTAAAGCATTTTGGACCTCAGTGTTTTGATATTTTACAAATTAAAGTATTACAGTTTTAGCTGGGGAGTAGGATTATAAAGATTTCAATGTCTGCTTGTGCAAAATCAAGAGTAGACTTATGCCAATGGTGACTTATATCTGAAATTCTGTTCAAGAAAATGTTTAAGTACAGAATTCCGCCCAGAGTGAAGACCATTCCGTCCAAATAAATGTTTTAAGTTGGAATTCTGTCCAAGATGAAATAGTTAAGTACAAAATTCTACAAGAACAAAAGTTCCAGCCGGAATTGTTCTTGTTTCCTGCCCAGAAAAGTAAACGAAATATTTTCCTTGTGAGACGGAATGAAACTGATTCCGTGCCAATTCTGTCCCAATTCCGCCCGAATCCGTGCAAAAAGTTCGTACAGGAATGTTAATAAACATTTGAAAATAGATAGAGTTATTAATATTCAGATTTTAGTTTTTCTGATATCGATGTGTGAGTTACATCATTGAAAAATCAAATTTGAAAAAATTACACAAATTGCCTTTTTCGTAATTTTAGTATGTAATTTAAATTGTGATTCCAATCAAGTGAATCATTTTTAAATGCCTTAGACAAAATCTATGTTTTTTTTGTATTTGTTCATTTATCGTACATAATTTTTAAACATGTCACTTTAAATATTCTGCTTATTAAGATGACATCATTATAATGAACAAACTTTAGTTAAGCAGCTCAAAGGTTGTGGTATGGATCTGGACTTTCAGTTGCAAATGAAACATAGATTTATTATTGTGAACAATCATTTGTAAATACTTTGAGTGATGAAAAAGTTATGACTCGGACCCAAATTAAACCATATAACTTACCTTGTTAAGTTTTGACCTTGTTTGTAACTTAAATCTAATTTCAAGATAATATGTAGTTTATCCATGCGGGTGTTGCATTTTAAAAACTATTACTGATTCAACTCAATTTGACTGCTAAAAAATGAGCATAATGTCAGTTTTATATTTCTAGATCATGGGACAGCGGGGACTGATTGTTATTTTCTGGTTTTATTTCCAATACAATATTATATAATTCTCAAAATGTCTGATGTAGTAAGACCTGTTTTTTTTTCAAGTATGCCACATATGTTATGTAAAGTTCACGATAGTGAACTTCTGGTTTGTGTTCGACACCTAGCTAAGTTATTTTATGAAAGTGTCTTATTTTGTAAAATTTATAAGAGGGAGAGAACTCTAATTTGATAATTATTCAAAAGGGAGATTACTCTACTGGTCATAACTGATCTAATCATATGTTTTCATTGATGAAATAGAATGTCTGGACAGTATCAACTGATGAATTCAAGGATGGTTGATTTTAAGCTATTTTACATCATGTTATTTATTTGTAGAAAAGTCATAAGGAACTCGTTTTGCTGAAAGAATTTTGTTGTCGATCTTTTGGGGTCAAGTTTCTTTAATTGTTTATATTCTGCCGGTTTTATCCACTTTTTTAAACATGTAAGGAATTGCATTATATAGTGTTATATTTGGTCCACTCCTTTGATTGTTAAATTTTGATATAGTGCCAGTTTCAGAATGACATTAATCTATCAAGTCCCATTTTTCTCTTTTATTCACTTTTACTCATTAAAAGTGAATAACTAGCTGTGTTAAAGTCAGCATTTAACGTGATACAGACAAGGTGAAACTGTATTTGAATGATGTACTACATTCATCCCTTTAATTGTTCATTATAATGCGATATATTGTATATAATGAAAATGTGTTAAATTCAAAACATTTTCTTACAAATATAAGGAATGTATCTAGTCATAAGTTTGTACGCTCTAATTTTCCTTTATTCCTCGAAATTTGATGTGCTGAAAATATCCTTGTATTCATAGTACTAAATAATTTCGAAGAATAAAATCTTTCGCTAAAAGGGTGTAAAGATTTGTTGGTGTTTTTAATATGGGATGGGGAAAATGTTGCCTTGTCGTCTGTTTTTGATATTTAGAAAGTATTTATTAATAGAAGTTCAAACAGTAGTATTACTAGTATAACATTTAATATAAAAAGCAAAACGCTCTGGCTCACGTATTCAACCGTGATAATCATTGCATATATAGATTTATCGCTGTATCATAACTGCCTCGGTCGATCGAATTTAAGATTGTGATTGTTCATACCACTGTGCATGACTTTAAAACACTATAATTTCCAATAAACTATAAAATGCACATTTCAGTGAATTTGTTTATTTATCAGATTTAATGTGATTCAACGTAAAATTTGATTTCACGTTTCTTTCGGAAGTTTTTTGTTCTTGGTTCATTTCATATGCAGCTTGTAAGCAACAGAGGCAAACGCGAATTATTATTATTGAGTTATTATTTTTATTGATGTTATCCTTAAAATTGGATATATTACAATGGTCTTGCGACAATTCTAGATGTGTTCCTTCCAACAGCAACGAAAGCAAACATAAACAAAACATTTGAGCCGCGTCATGACAAAACCAACATAATGGGTTTGCGACCAGCATGGATCCAGACCAGCCTGCGCATCCGCGCAGTCTGATCAGGATCCATGCTGTTCGCTCACAAACCCTATGACAAGTAGAGAAACTGATAGCTAACAGCATGGATCCTGATCAGACTGCGCAGATGAGCAGGCTGGTCTGGATCCATGCTGGTCGCAAACCCATTATGTTGGTTTTGTCATGACACGGCTCATTTTATATGTCAAAGCAGTAAAATAACTAATAATTTTCATAAACCGTACAATTGAACAAACTTGGTAGAGCTTCATACAAAGACCATATCTTCCTCTTTGTCAAATTTGATCTAAATGTTTTAGCTGATTTGAGATGCTAGTCAAATTAATTGTAGATGAAGTATAGACTGTAGCTTAAGCTGTCATTGCATGACAGTTGAACTAAACAGTCAATGATTTCTTAAGTGCACAAATAGTCACAAATTATACACAAATTAAATTTCTATTTCTTCAATAATACAACGATAGAAGCATTCTTTAATAAACATATTACATTATAATTTGCTCCAATATTATAATTATAATGGGTACATCTAAATTGTAAAAAACATCTAATAGTTACCTAATTAATTGTTGCAAAGTCTAACTATCATTCAAGTTTAACTGCACGTGTTGGAGTTAAAACAACACTTTTCGCTAAATTCGGGCTAAAATAGCACTACATTAAAATTTCCAATTAGTTTCAGAGTATATTTTTCAATTATCTTTCGCGTATTTTTCTATAAAAGTGCCCAAACAGAACTGAGTAGGAAATCGAAATGGTACGTTTTTAGGCTTTTAGACCTAGGTGAGTTCATTTATATATTATGCTTTAAAACATTAACATGCCTGTCCTTTTTACATGTATTCACTATTTCCCTTGGCAAAAATATTAACATGCTAATAATTGTTACCCCAATAGTAAATTAAACCTATACATCCAAAAAAAAAGATCCCCATAACACTTTGTAGTTTCAAAAAATCGCTATAATTAGTTGAACATCTTTTTCAAGAAATAATTTGTAAAAATAATGATGATAATAATCAATATGATTTTCTGATATTGTTTTTATCAATATTGAAAAACATGCACATTGTAGACCAATCAACTTTTAATTACAGTAAAGTTACAGCATTTTTCTAGGCTAGGTTGTGGTCCATTAGTAGATCTGTATATGATTCATATACGAAATGCGAGAAACTTATAATTTAAATGTGCTCAACTGTCGTCTGCTTGCCCTTTAATGTCTTAGGGTGCCATTTAATACTCATCAGGCAAGTTCGTAGTCTAGTCCATATTAGAACTGAAAATGCTAGTCCACCCGAAACTATTATATGCATTGAGATGTGTCTTTAGTTGGTAACAACTCCTGATTAATATAAACATGACGAATACATAAAGGCAATTGTCGTAAGCTTACAGTACGTAAGTATCGTCTGCATAATTGTGGAAAGTCACGGAATCGCACGAAACTACAAACGAGCAGATATTCTATAGAACTCGATATCTAAAACCAATATTGTTATTAATAAACTATATTCAATGCTTAATATAAAGAAGTTTGTCACCCTAATAGGGATGCGACTCTTAACGCACCGACTATGCAGTATTCACATCAAATCAAACTAAAATTATGCATGTAAGAGAAAGCCTGTACCGTTAATGAGAAAACAATGAAAGAAACTAAGCAAACTGGAATTTGAAAGGGGATCTGAGGTTATGATGCATGCATATCACATACAAGACGTCAAAAGACAAATTTAAAAAGTAGGCAACATATCCTTAAGGCGATCATAGAATATCAAAGTAGGGATACTGTGACCACCCAAGTTGAAAAGATACTAAAATACCACAAACATGCACACACAACAAATATATTGTTCTGAACGATCTCCAAGGATCGAAAGTAAGTTATATAAAAAATGATCCACGGTAGATTATTTTAATGAAAATACTGGTGATATTGTTCATGCATGTAAGATATTTGCGTGTTAAATTATTGTTCACGTTTAATTTAAGGAAGAGCGACACATCATACCTTACTGAGAAAAGACGTGCTTCTCGAAATAAATTTGATCTTGTGAAGTTATAAACTATAAACATAAAAATAGTATTTCCATGACACAGACTGGCGATCATAGTTGTTTATATTTTTCTACTAAAGGGATAGACCAAAAGATAAAAAGTATTATGTGAACTGTCTTTATTGGATGTAACATATTTACTATATTTTTTGTTTCTTACCAATACCATTTAATCAATCATCTTTTATTATTAATACTTTCCTTATTATGTGTATTTCGTTTTCATGGATATATTGTACCTTTTTTGTATTTTTTTAGTTCTAGGACCAGATGTAAATTCGAGGAATGAATATAGTCCATCCCTAAACGTAGAAGGTATATAAATGTTATGATCGGCTCATCAAACCTAAGTCGCTCACGGATTCAGGTTGTCTGATTACGAAAGTGCAACAGAAAAGATGGTTTATGAAAAGTCGTTTCTGTGTGAGTAATCTTATTAATAATTACAATGTATATTTCGATGGACAATGTCAAAAATTTGCTATTGTACAATTTTGAATTCACATCTAATTATGTACTGTGTGTATGTCGCGCATTTTATATATTTTTTGTCAAAACGTTTGGGAGTAGAATAATACGTAAAATAATAAATTGACTGGCATGAGTAAAAAATTAAATCAACTGAAATAAGTATTAATATACATTGACTGAAATGAATAAAATAATACATTGACTGAAATGAGTAAAATAATACATTGACTGAAATGAGTAAAATAATACATTGACTGAAATGTGTAGATAATACATTGACTGAAATGAGTATATAATACATTGACTGAAATGAGTAAATAATACATTGACTGAAATGAGTAAATAATACATTGACGAAAATGAGTATATACTACATTGACTGAAATGAGTATTAATATACATTGACTGAAATAAGTAAAATAATACATTGACTGAAATGCGTATATAATACATTGACTGAAATGAGTTTATAATACATTGACTGAAATGTGTAGTTAATACATTGACTGAAATGAGTATATAATACCTTGACTGAAATGAGTAGATAATACATTGACTGAAATGAGTAGATAATACATTGACTGAAATGATTAAAAAATACATTGACTGAAATGAGTAAATAATACATTGACTGAAATGATTAAAAAATACATTGACTGAAATGAGTAGATAATACATTGACTGAAATGAGTAGATAATACATTGACTGAAATATGTAGATAATACATTGACTGAAATGAGTAGATAATACATTGACTGAAATGAGTATATAATACATTGACTGAAATGAGTAGATAATACATTGACTGAAATGAGTAGATAATACATTGACTGAAATGAGTATATAATACATTGACTGTAATGAATAGATAATACATTGACTGAAATGAGTATATAATACATAGACTGAAATGAGTAGATAATACATTGACTGAAATGATTAAAAAATACATTGACTGAAATGAGTAGATAATACATTGACTGAAATGAGTAGATAATACATTGACTGAAATGAGTATATAATACATTGACTGAAATGAATAAAGTTATACATTGTCTATAATACATTTTATTGTATACTTGTGATTGAAATATTGAGATATATAAATGAAATAAAAAAAGTATTTTCATTTACCATATTTTCACTGTAATTTTTTTAACTGTAGTGAAACATACTTTTGGACTCTCGGGCTTTAGAAAATACACTCAATTTAAGGAGAGGTCTTTTAAATTGTAATGTAAAAAAATGTATAAAGCAAACAGAAAAATCAAGTTTTTTTCTATAAAAACAGTATTTATTTTTATTGAGTGCTATGAAAATAATCACATATCAAACAAGGATGTCGCTACTCTTGAATGATTTCTTTCATACCACGCGATTAAAATAATCCTGTGTTTATTGCAAGAAATCACACTGGAATATCATCTATATCTTAAATAAGTAAAATGCTTACATAATTGAAATCAGTTTATATTATAAGTAAAATAAAAGCATGTTTTAAATATTTTCAGACCTATGGGTGATTGTGTTCCTTGCACTGCTGGGGAAATCAAGTAAGTCGTTGTTGTCTGGTTTTTTTTGTTTGTTTTTTTGTTGTTATTTTCTTATCTTATGTTAAGAATCAAACATAGCTTGTTATGCAAACAAACTGTACCCATTTTACTTACGTGTACGCAAATAATCTCATAAAATATTTATGCCATTTAAATAAGGGATGGGTACAACACTTGCACCCAAAATTATATTAAATTTTCATTTGTTACCTATAATGTATACAAAAGCTCCAGAAAGACATATTGTAGAATAATATTTAATAAAATTCGCATAATAAGCTTTGATAGGAAATTATTATCATAATTAGTATTTATAATTTAGTATTATTTTCAAAAGAAATGATTTATCACTGAGCCTTAAAAACAACAATTTATTATGTTATAGGACAATCACATGAGACAAATATTTAAAATATTTTACTAATATATCATTAGGGGCAACAGCAATTCTCCTATATCATATAAGGATAATATACTTTGAGAAAAGGTGTAAATTCTATGATAAGATTACGTTACAACGTTTATGTTGAGAAATAATGCATAATTGCTCGTATTTATTTACAACGTAACATAAAGTCTGCAATTATTTGCATATGTACTGTATGTTGAAGTGTGTTTATACCAAGTTTTCCATTCATTTAGTACGATGTATGCGTTCAAATATAGTTCGATTATGGTGATCTAATTTTGCTCCAAAATTATCAAAATATTTATTAAAGTTTTATTTAGAGGAAATTATAAAAATATCACATCTCCTTAACACATATATTTAGCATATTTTACAGTTTCCATATCTTGCTTACTTTATATACATTTGCAGTTTGAAATGTGTTAATTCAAATGGATATTTGAGACTTAATTAAATATGTTCCCATCAATAAGTACTGGCAAATCCATCGAATGAAACTTTACGTATCGTTGTAATGGTATACTAAACACATGACTGTATACTAAACGCATGATTTTAAACATGTTCTATATCATGGTGTTCTTGAATGACTACAAAACAAAAATTCATCCATGTCAAAAAGTTACTATGGAGTTATTGTGGAATGGCAATGTAAGAATGTCAATTGTTATATGCGTAGATCCATAATAAGTGACTCAAAACTATTGTATGTCGTTGGATTATGATTAAATTGAAATAACATTGTATTGTCAATATTTTGCAGCTCAGTATTGCCCGACTACCATTGCGTTTCATGCCAATCATTTATCAAACACCCAATTACTGCCAGGTAACACGCTTGTATTCAGTGTGATTAAGATGAACCTAGGCGGAGCATACAACAGCACTTCCGGTATCTTTGTTGCTCCACAAGCTGGAACATACTCTTTCAACGCTCACCTGTGTTTGGCTGTTGGTAACGCTCTTGCATTTGATGTCATGGTTGGGTCTTCCGTCTACACCTCGACATATGCTAGGGGTTACAATGGTTGTGGGTGTACATCTATACCAGCTATTGCAGTTCTTAACCAGAATGACCAGGTCTATCTACGATGGAAGACCTACTCGTACACAAGTAGTTCCGTCATATGTCAAGGTATTCCAGAAAGTACCTTCACTGGAATGTTGATTAATTGATTTTCTTATATATGATGTACGCTGTTTTCTGTGTCTATTCATTTAGACATTTGAAATATTTTAATTAATAATTTTATCTTATATCCAAGTAAGAAAATTTCTTCCATTACTTATACAATCGTTCTTCTGTAAACAGTGAATGGTTATCGTCTTTACATTATTGACAACTACTCACAGTATGTAAATAATATTAGCAAAAAATGAATTATTTTATACATAGTTGCGTTAAAAATAAAATATTTAGAGGATATTCTTGCCATTTATAAACTGATAATACGTATTTGATAAATATGTATCCTGTATAAATCAAAACGATCTAAAATAATAAAAACACAAACTCATTAAATTCCATTAACAAAAATATGTCAATAAATGTTAAGTCACCAAGCTTGTAGTATTTTTTTCAACCTAAGAATGAAACACAATTTTTACGTGTCTTTTCTGGTATAGTTTCAGTCGGTTTGTTATAATATCCTTTTCAAAATATGTTTTACACACGCTTAAAGAAGAATAAGATTTAGTGTTTTAGGATTAGAAGAATTCTTTAATTGCCAATGTTATCAACTTAGATTATTATTTAAGAAAAAATTTCTTATATACATTTGCAAATATAATTCTATCAATAAAGAACTTTATCATGCAAGAAGTATGTATTGTTTTGTATTTCCTTATTCTTTTATTCTTCATTATTGATATGTAATAATTTACGGGCAGTATGTTATAGGTGAGTTCAGGGTTCTCAGAGTATTTCTACTATGTTTTATTTTAACATCGGGTGCTTAACACTTAATCTTCTGAAACGAATGAAACGTTCAGGCCCTACTACCCGCCAAAAACCATTTAGAGTCTCACCAGTTTGCGCGTCCGTGCAGTGGAACCAGGTTGGATACTATCGATATGAGCGTCCCTCGTTTTATTCTTATTTTGATCAGTACAGTTCAGTTTATAATATTATGCCTTTGGCCAGTTCAATAATTGTGAAGTGAAGAATATGGCAAAATAAACAATATAATCAGCAATGATAATGAAACTCCTTAAACTTTAACCGGACTTTCCAAATTCTAATCTGGTATATCCATTATACAAATTTAGAAGGTTAGGTTTAACGATTGGAAGATTTCTCTCTGTCAATGGTAATATGATAAAAACTGAACTTTTAGAGTTTATAAAAGTAAGAAAGACGAAGTCTTATGATTAAAAGAATGTTAGCCGTAAAAATAATCCCAAACATTTTACCCTAAACTAATATAAATATATAATCCCAGACATTTACCATAAACTAATGTAAATAATAATCCCAGACATTGACCATAAACTAATGTAAATAATAATCCCAGACATTGACCATAAACTAATGTAAATAATAATCACAGACATTTACCATAAACTAATGTAAATAATAATCCCAGAAATTTAGATAATAATCACAGACATTTTACATAAACTAAGGTAAAGCATACCTGAACAAGCTACTGGTGCCAAATAATGTAAGTACAATTAGGGATTGTAATAAGCTTTTACAGTAACTGTAGCTAAATGAATCTTTTAAATACTAATGTCTTATAGCTCGCCGGGGTTAGTCAAGAAGAATATTTCATATTTGCTTACTTCAACAAGGTAATTTTAAAATACTTTTTGCCATAGTTTGCTAAAAAGCATTTTCTTTGACGCGATATACGCTCAATGTCCGTCCGTCTGTCCGTCCGTCCCGCATTTTTGTCCGTAGCATATCTCAAAAAGTATTTGAGGTATCAACTTGAAACTTCATAGGTGGATAGGTCGTATTAAGGAGGAGTGCAGTGCACAAGAATGACAACTCTATCCTGCATAATTCTTTAGTTATTGCCCTTTGTTATATTTGTTTGTTTGTTTTGGGTTTTTACGTCACATCGACACAGTATAGGTCATATCGCGACGTTTCAGCTTTACTGGTGGAGAAAGACCTCAGGTGACCTTCCGTGCATTATTTCAGACACGAACGGGCACCTGAGTAGAACCACCGACGTTCCGTAAGCAAGCTGGATAGCTTCTTGACATGAAAGAATCCAAAGTCCCTGTCGGGATTCGACCTCACAGCGGTGAGGGGCAAGTGGTTTGAAGTCAACAACCTTAACCACTCGGCCACGGACGTCCCCTTGTTATTTTTGTCCAGAGCAAAACTTAAAAGCCTTTGACATATCAACATGAAACTTCATCACTATGGAGGTGTGCAATGCACAAGAGTGATCAGTCTAATCTTCATGATTTTTGAGTTATTGTCCTTTGTTATTTTTCATACTTAATTTTTTATCTGAGTTGATCATAACTCAAAGGTCTTTGAGATGTCAACATGAAACTTCATAGGTGGGTAGATCTTACTGACTCAGAGGAGGAAAGCTGTGCGCAAGAATGATAACCCTACCTTTTATAATTTTTGAGTTATTGCCCTTTGTAATTTTTCATACTTTTTGTCCGGAGCATATCTCAAAAGGTATTTGAGGTATCAACTTGAAACTTCATAGGTGGATAGATCATTTTGAGGAGGAGTGAAGTGAATAAGAATGATAGCTCTACCATGCATAATTTTTCAGTTATTTCTCTTTATTATTTTTCAATCATAATTTTTGTCCAGAGCATAACTCCAAAAGCCTTTGAGATATCAACATGAAACTTCATACTAGGTGGATATAGCACACTCAGGGGGTGTGCAATGCACAAGAGTGATTACTCTACCTCACATAATTCTTTAGTTATTGTCTTTTGTTATTTTTCATACTTATTTTTTCACCTGAGTGGAGCATAACTCAAAAGTGTTTGAGATATCAACATGAAACTTCATCGGTGGATTTATCTTATTAAGGGCCTTTTATAATTTTTGAGTTATTGCCTTTTGTTATTTTTCATACTTTTTGTCTGGAGCTTATCTCAAAGAGTTTTAGAGGTATCAATTGAAACTTCAAAGGTGGATAGATCTCATTGAGGAGGAGTGCAGCACACAAGAATGATAATCTACCCTACATTATTTTTCAGTTATTATCCCTCGCCGAAAGGCGCGAGGGAAATAAAAGTAGTCTTCGTCCGTCCGTCCGTCCGTCCCTCCTTCCGTCCATCCGTCCGTCCTTCCGTCCGATATTTTTGTCAGGAGCATATCTCAAAAAGTATTTGAGGTATCCACATGAAACTTCATAGGTGGATAGATCATATTGAGGAGGAATGCAGTGCATAAGAATGATAACTCTACCCTGTATAATTTTTCAGAAATTGCCCTTTGTTATTTTTTGTCCAGAGCTTAACTAAAAAAGCTTTATGAGATATCCACATGAAACTTCATAGGTGGATAGATCTCACCCAGGAAGTGTGCAGTGCACAAAAATGATAACTCTACCCTTCATTATTTTTTAATTATTGCCCTTTGTTATTTTTCATACTTAATTTTTCACGTGAGGTGGATTTATCTTATTGAGGAGGAATGCTGTGCACAAGAACGATCACTCTTCCCATTATAATATTTGAGTTATAGCCCTTTGTTATTTTTCATACTTTTTGTCCGGAGCTTATCTCAAAAAGTGTTAGAGATATCAACTTGAAACTTCATAGGTGAATAGATCTCATTGAGTAGGAGTGCAGCACACAATAATGATAACTGTATCCTGCATAATTTTTCAGTTATTGCCCTTTGTTATTTTTCAATCCTAATTTTTGTCCAGAGCATCACTCGTAAAGGTTTTGAGATATCAATATGAAACTTCACCTCACTTCAGAGGTGTGCACTTCACAAGAATGATAACTCTAAACCCTTCATAATATTTAAGTTATTGCCCTTTGTGTTATTTTCATAGTTAATTTTTCACGTGAGTGGAGCATAACTCAAAAAATCAGTTTTAATTATCAAAAAACTTCTTACAATTGAATTATTCTGCTCGAGTACATACACATTCTTCCGACGCGCAAACACACTCGGCGGGGGATGGCCATGTTAACATGGCTTTTGTTATACAATGTACAACCATAAGACTGTACTGTGTTTTAAATTATATGAATGTAATGTATTTCAACAACTAAATCTTTTAAAATGTACACCTTATATGATATATTATCACTTATTATAATATTTTTGCTTCGGTCACTGTTTTTAATGTTGCCTTTAACTTGCACTTTGAAGTACCGTCCATGAAATCAAACCGAGCCTGCGACATTTTCAATTTTGTAATGTTGGACTTTCTTTAGGGATTCTGTTTGTCTCTATTTTTCGACCAGATTCAAAACATATACAGGGAATATTACATGAATTTATTCTCATGTGTAGTATGAACTTCTATCGGTAGTGTTGATTTATTTCCATGACCCACATAGATTTATACTGACCTGTGTGACAATGGTAAAGAAACATGTTCCTGAACAAAAGCAAAACAATGGAAGTTTTCTTAATGTATTTTATTATATACTATAGGGTTAACGCACGTTTTTCCGTGTTATAACGTCTGCAGAGTCCCGAGGAACGGTTGGTGCCCGAGCCCGGTAGGGCGAGGGCTCCAACAGTTCCAAGGGACTCTGCAGACTTTATAACACGAAATAAACGTGCGTTGACGCTATTATAGCATCAAATTTTCAAACAGATTCGTGATGTATAGTTTATACAAAACACAATTACATTACATTCTTGTGCTTGGACGGTATAAAAATTTATCTGTAGTAGGGCAGGTTGTTTCCCTTTGTAAATAATGTTCTGATTTTTGACACTTATTGAATTAAGTTCTAAATTGTTATTTCCCTTTTCTTTTTGGTACATGAAATTGTAATTTGTTATATTTTATGAAATAGTTTGTACACAACAAATCGAGTAAATTGTTAGCTATTAAAATTGTCAAGATAAAGAAGGTCTCAGGTATAAAACTTTAATAATTTTGTTTTAAGTAGTTATTCTTAATTTATATTTATGAAGCTAATGTTAGAAATAATATGTTGGTTGATTAGAAATAATAATTACTTTGGTATATAAGGTCAGATTTTATTGGCATCATTGGTAGCCCCTATCTTAATTTATTAGGTATTATAAAAGTAAATTGTTTAGTATTTCGTTATTAAAGTAAAAGTACAGTATATCTATTTTCTATTACTCTGCATTGAAAGTTCTTTATATTAAATTTGGTAGTTGTTATAGAATTTAATTTCTATACTTTGATAAATTGAAGTTTATATGTTTAAATGAAGAACATTGTCGTATAAGTATTTAATTTTGTATTAAAAATCAGAACTGGAAACTTGGTGTTTTTGTCATTTCTTGCAGCAAATATTCGGGGTAAAGGGACGAAGTGAGTCCAAGCTTCTAAGGCTCTATAAATCAGTAGCAAGTAAAAAGGAGAGGAACTTGCGAAGCCAGGTTGTGATAATTTGCAACCTGTCGCCTCGGAAGTAGCCCTCTCCTGCTACATATCCAATTCTATGTTTTACGTATGCGTTTCATTTTTCCGGGGCCAACAACTTGGAAAATTCTCGGAACCGAACGAAATTTTGAATTTTAATTGATTTAACAAAGCTTGGCCTTTGGAGATTTATTATCTCAAGAAAAAAAAAACGTTACATTA